CCTCACTTGATCGCAGCTGTTCCTCCTGCAGTCAGGAGGACCTCTAGTCACAAAAACATGACACATCCCGCAGTTATCACTATTCACCTTCTGTCTCAGTTGCTGCTGAGTCTCAGCTAACTCTCTCTCCTTCCTTGTTAGCTCATCTCTCACTGTCTGCTTCTCTCTTAGCTCCCTGTCCTTGGCCTGCACTAACTCAGTCTCCTGCAGTCAGGAGGACCTCGTTACACTGCATTAGTTCCACACAGACTTGACTAACCCGTCTCTGTGAGCTGATCAGCCTGGATACCATTTGTTGTCTGACTGTCTGTTTCTCTCTCTCACTGGATTCTAGTTGTTGCTGGAGCTCCTGTAGCACATTTAATCCTTCTTTTGGATATAGTACTGAAATAAAGTCCCTCACCTGGTTCCTGGATACCATTTGTTGTCTGACTGTCTGTTTCTCTCTCTCACTAGATTCTAGTTGATGTTGGAGCTCAACGTTCTCCTGTAACACACATTCATTAGTAGCCAACCCATCCTCTGGTTACTATAATTATGGATGAAAGTAAGTCCCTCACTTGGTTTCTGGATTGTAATTGTTGTACAACAATCTGTTTCTCCCTTTCACTGGACTGTAGAAGTTCTTCCTGCAAATTATATGCTAAAATTGCCACACAATACCACTTGCACAATTCACCTTCAGTATCATTTGGCCCTGGGCCTCAGCTAACTCTGCTTCCTTTCTCCTCAGCAGTCCCTCTAGCTCAACATTCTCCTAATAACAAACAAGTCAACTAGCCACACTCTCTCACTACAGCACACAGTCCCTCACCTGGTTCCTGGGCTGGGTCTGAAGAGCTCGCAACAGCTCCAGTTTGTTCATGTCTGTCTGCTCGTCTCTCACTTCAGCTCTGGCCTCCTCCAACAGACGCAGCACCTGACGAATGCTCGGCCGGTCTTCAGGGAAGTCCAGACACCCCTCGATCATCTGGAGGAGAGGATGCTTCTTGCGTAGCTGCCTGTAGATCATCCTCATGTATCTCTCTCGTCGCTCTAGCTCAGTTCGACCAACTATTCTTCGTCGTTCGTCACGATAGTTGTGAGCTAGCAAGTCGCAGGGGAAGGTTTGGCAGAGTGTGAAAATGGCCACGACACCAAAAGAAAAGATGTCGATGCTTGCATCGTACTTTGACATTTTGTCTTTCTCTTCCTCGTTTTCCTCAAGTTTGCTTTCCATGGCCTCTGGAGGCATGTAAATTATGGCCCCAGGTCCCTTTGTCATGGTGGCTGCAACTCGCATACGAGGCACGATACGAGCCACGCCCAGGTCCGCTATCTTGGCCACCATCCCCGAGTTCAGGAGAACGTTTCTGGCCGACAAGTCGCGGTGGATGATGGGCGGCGATTGCTCGTGGAGGTAGGTCAGGCCGCACGCCACGTTGTGCAGGATCGAGCACTTTAGGCTCGGCGGGAAGAAGGGCTTGGGCGCATTGGGCGGGGGAGGGGTGTCGGTTTCTGGGTCCAGCAAGTCGTGAAGACTCGTCAGCAGTCGCTCCATGACGAGGGCTGGCAGTCGCGAGCCGGGCAGGAAATATAAACCAAGAAACTGGACGATGTTCGGGTGGCGGAGGGTACTCATCAGCCGACATTCCTTCACGAACTGGGACGGGATCAGAGCCGCGTTCAGGAAGACGTCGTGAATCTTTTTGGCGGCGCAGACGGCTCCAGGCATGGCCACCTCCTCCACGCTGCCGTAGGCTCCTGCGCCGATTGTGGTACCAGTGAGCCGTACGTTTGTGAGCACGAACGGCTGCAGCTCAGGGTGGTTACGAAGAAACTCGGCCATCTTTCTCTCAGGAGCTAGCTCTAGCTAGCTACGTACCGCTGCAGGGAGTGGCAAGTTGATGTAGAATATTTCGGTAATCTTGGCGATAAACACCTACCTCTCTCCTTTTAGAACATTACGAGGGGCGCGCGCGATCAAAATGGGTGTGGCTTACTGGTATGCGATATAATACTCCACAGCCCGTGAACTCCCATCAAACACAGGGTTCGTCGAGGTCAAGGTAACAGGATTTCGGCTTAGGTATACGGAGGAGAGGTGAGAGAGTGTTCAACGGCGTCCCTCGAGGTTTCACTCTGTAGTCTATTGCCTTATTAGACCGCAGTCACGCGCAATTGACCAATCAGATTACAGAATTGCGGGGGGTTTATTTTTCATAGACACCTCGTTTCAGGTGTCTATGGCGTTTGCAGGTGGTCTACAGCAAACTCCCCGTACAAAATGGCTATTCTAAAAAGTCGTTTATCTGCGCAAACTGGCCGATTCCGCGTTCTGTATATGAAAGCGTAGAAGGCGCGACTGGCAAAGTAGCTCTTTTAAAATGCGTAGTGCACCTGCAAGAAGTCTGTGGACAGTCTCCGGAGCTCGCGAAAGTCAGAAATCACGTCAATATTCCACGAAAAAAGCGTCGGCTTCTTCAGCTCTGGCGATACACAAACACATCGGGCCGTTGCCGTGCGTTGCTAACCCTTTCAAACGCGCACCACCAATGAGGGCGTTTTATGATGACGTAAACGATTTTTGACGGGGGGCGGGGGCTGTCTCCTCGGAGTCTCACACGTAAAAAAGCGTCTTGTTCCATCCGAAGGTAAGGAATGAGGAATGAGCGCAGCGTTGCTAGCTTGTTACTACCCATTTGAACGTGCAAACACCATCAGATACTCCGGTCTAAACCGGTTAGACGCGGAAGCTCGGTTGTCTACGCAACATTGCAACCCTCGGGGCTGGTACCAGTGAGCCGTACGTTTGTGAGCACGAACGGCTGCAGCTCAGGGTGGTTACGAAGAAACTCGGCCATCTTTCTCTCAGGAGCTAGCTCTAGCTAGCTACGTACCGCTGCAGGAGTGGCAAGTGATGTAGAATATTTCGGTAATCTTGGGCGAAAAACACCTACTCTCTACTTTCGAACATTACGAGGGGCGCGCGCGATCAAAATGGGTGTGGCTTACTGGTGTGGGATATAATACTCCACAGCCCGTGAACTCCCAATCAAACACAGGGTTCGTCGAGGTCAAGGTACAGGATTTCGGCTTAGGTATACGGAGGAGAGGTGAGAGAGTGTTCAACGGCGGTCCCTCGAGGTTTCACTCTGTAGTCTATTGCCTTATTAGACCGCAGAGTCACGCGCAATTGACCAATCAGATTACAGAATTGCGGGGGGTTTATTTTCATAGACACCTCGTTTCAGGTGTCTATGCGTTTGCAGGTGGTCTACAAGCAAACTCCCCGTACAAAATGGCTATTCTAAAAAGTCGTATCTGCGCAAACTGGCCGATTCCGCGTTCTGTATATGAAAGCGTAGAAGGCGCGACTGGCAAAGTAGCTCTTTTAAAATGCGTAGTGCACCTGCAAGAAGTCTGTGGACAGTCTCCGGAGCTCGCGAAAGTCAGAAATCACGTCAATATTCCACGAAAAAAGCGTCGGCTTCTTCAGCTCTGGCGATACACAAACACATCGGGCCGTGCCGTGCGTTGCTAACCCTTCAAACGCGCACCACCAATGAGGGCGTTTTATGATGACGTAAACGATTTTTGACGGGGGGGCGGGGGCTGTCTCCTCGGAGTCTCACACGTAAAAAAGCGTCTGTCATCCGAAGGTAAGGAATAGGAATGAGCGCAGCGTTGCTAGCTTGTTACTACCCATTTGAACGTGCAACAACCAATCAGATACTCCGGTCTAAACCGGTAGACGCGGAAAGCTCGGTTGTTCTACGCAACATTGCAACCCTCGGGGCATGTGGGTAGCGCCCTCGCTGCGCTCGGGACGCCAACATTCCACAGCCCCTCGGGTTGCAATGTAGCGTAGACACCTCGCTTCCGCGTCTAACCTATATTTGGACACGAACACACATTTGATCTGCTCGGCAGCCTGGCTACAGCGTACTAGCTAGCTAGGAGTCAGTTTTCCAGTTTGAACTAAGTTCTAATTGATGCGCATTTTAAATGATTCTAAATGATGCACACCAGTAAGCCACGCCCATTTTGATCGCGCGCGCCCCTCGTAAGTGGGCCATACAGCTAGAAGATCAGAGGAGTCTAGTTATTCTCTTCATAGAGAACTCTGCAAAAGGAGAAATGGCAGCAGAAGGAAGCGGTTCTGGTAGGAACAGGACCCCAGGGAGCTCAGGTTAGCACCACTGTCTTTATGATATGATGTGAGTAGAATTTGTACATGTGTGACCATACACTGTGCATGTTTATACCTCATTTGGAGTTGGGCATCTTTGGTGGTTTAATCACCTGGTTTCTATAGTCCGTTATACAGTGTACATTATGTAATGTGATGTAGTGTATATACATGAATGTATGTATGTTTCTATTTTTTCCTCTTTTATCCTATTATAGCTAGTATGCTAGCTATACACATGTTTTTGATGTACACATTTGGTTTGCTCTGACTGTAGTCCAAGTTATGATCTACTTGGTGAGGAAGATCCTGACGACTTTGTCAATGTCGACATACCTGAGGACCTCAGTGCTAGTGATACTGCCATTATGCCCCCTACCGGAGGTAAAGAAAGACTCAACATACGTACAGTGTATGAACATACACATTGCTATGATGGGTCTACGTGTATGTAACATGCTGCGCGGGGAAGAGACAACACTTCGTTTTCATTCATCACTGAACATTTAACGTCTCGCACTGGGCCCTATTGTTTCAGTCTATCTTTAGTAACATTTCTAAATTTAGCCCTTACAGTACTGACACATTGCCTTTGAATTGCATGCTAAAAAGTGTTTTTTAGGAGAAGAAAGTGTGTCTTTGTAGAGAGGTGTCCTCATTTCAGGAATGACCTTGGATAGAGGTTCTGCTGTGTTCTGATACAAATGAAATGTTGCACTTATTCTTCCTACAGCTGGCAGACAAGGGCTGCTAAGAAAGTTTCGAGAAAGCTCGATACTCCCTAACATTAGAAGGCAGAAAGACTCGACTCCTGGTGGTGGTGACTTTCCTCAAGTTAGACGTTTATTATGGAGATGTAATAGAATTAAATGGAATGTGGCAGTATATTTATAACGGAGCCCAATCACTGTGCCAATATTGTTTTGTTGTATCTTTAGTAACATTTCCTTATATTATACTGCCACATTCACTTGAGGGAGAGAAGAAGTGGGAGGGAAAGGAGAACTGTAGATATGTATACATTACTCTAAGTGTGTAATGAGAGGGAGAGGAAGGAGAAAGGGGAGGAAGGGAGGAGGGGGTGATATAAGGGAGACCAACAATGTTCTTCTCGTAAGAAAGGGCGAGGGGGAGAGGGAAGGACAGAAAAGGTAAATAATATTTTCCTTCTCTCTCCACTTACAGCTTCCTGGTGAAGATGACGAGTTACTAGATCTGGTGAGTTCCCTAAGAACACCTCTCTAAATAGGACACCTTTCATTTCCCCAAGAACAGTTCTCAACCCCTGAAATAAAGACACCTCACTAATTATTATAATAATGGCACTTTCCACTGTCCCATTGGTATCTGGATTAGTATTTTATTCACGTAACTCCATATTTTCTCATCAGAGATCAGGAGATGGGGAGAGGGAGGAGAGAGGCGCAGCTGAAATGGAGAAACTTCTGTCTTTTGAAGCGTCAGAAACATCTCTGAGATCCGACATGCTCATATCCATGAACGTAACGTGAGTTCAACAGGGGTTTCGTACGCATGCGTATTACATCGTTTCCATGACGACCACACATCGTTTCCATGATGACAGCATATCGTTTGAACAACAACAAATAGCCTCAGGCACTTCTCTTTAGTCGTTTCACAAGGAATGGATTTCACCACTTTCATTATGTAATGTTACGTGTTGTCTCCAGAAGTGCAGGAGGAGGGGCAGGAATAGGGGCGGGGCTAGGTGTGGATATGTCACTACGGCAACCAGCCAGTGTCCACGCCCCCGAGATAAAGCTGCCATCAGATGAAGAGCTTGCGAAACGTACGTCTCCCTATTCTACATAATGTACAACTAAGCAATACATACATGGTTCATGCTGTAATATGCTGTGTTTTATGGTTAATAAATCAGGGTTTAATACCCCATCGAAATTGGCTACATTGACAAGTGTGTCACATTGTTTATACTGATCATGATAGCACCACATGATTCAATGTGCATTAGAGCAAGTCTTTATAAAACAGTAATGACTGAAGGTTGTACTAAGAACCACCATTGTACATCTTATAATATGTACACATATTGTGTATGTAGAAGCTCAAAGAGTGAGGTTGGACAGTATGGACGCCGACACACAGAGAGAGTTTGAGGACGAAGGTTGGTACACCAGTTGTGTACATACAGTATATATTAGTTCTTTTCTTATAGTCTCCCCCCATTCATGTGTTTTGCTCTTGGGGGTGTGGGGTTAATTTTGTCACTGTAGTGCGATGGTTGCGTTTCAAGAACTATGTATGTACAAAACTGTATGAATGCATCCCTACATGATTTAAAGTAATTATTTTCACTGTCTAATAATCTGCAGATGTGGAGTCGGCCACGTGGGCTCAGCACCAGAAACATGTATTCGTTCTCAGTCTCTCTGGCAAACCCATCTACAGCAGGTAGAGTATAGAGCTGTATTCCCAACTAGCAGGTAGAGTAGAGCTGTATTCCCAACTAGCAGGTAGAGTAGAGCTGTATTCCCAACTAGCAGGTAGAGTAGAGCTGTATTCCCAACTAGCAGGTAGAGTAGAGCTGTATTCCCAACTAGCAGGTAGAGTAGAGCTGTATTCCCAACTAGCAGGTAGAGTAGAGCTGTATTCCCAACTAGCAGGTAGAGTAGAGCTGTATTCCCAACTAGCAGGTAGAGTAGAGCTGTATTCCCAACTAGCAGGTAGAGTAGAGCTGTATTCCCAACTAGCAGGTAGAGTAGAGCTGTATTCCCAACTAGCAGGTAGAGTAGAGCTGTATTCCCAACTAGCAGGTAGAGTAGAGCTGTATTCCCAACTAGCAGGTAGAGTAGAGCTGTATTCCCAACTAGCAGGTAGAGTAGAGCTGTATTCCCAACTAGCAGGTAGAGTAGAGCTGTATTCCCAACTAGCAGGTAGAGTAGAGCTGTATTCCCAACTAGCAGGTAGAGTAGAGCTGTATTCCCAACTAGCAGGTAGAGTAGAGCTGTATTCCCAACTAGCAGGTAGAGTAGAGCTGTATTCCCAACTAGCAGGTAGAGTAGAGCTGTATTCCCAACTAGCAGGTAGAGTAGAGCTGTATTCCCAACTAGCAGGTAGAGTGGAGCTGTATTCCCAACTAGCAGGTAGAGTGGAGCTGTATTCCCAACTAGCAGGTAGAGTAGAGCTGTATTCCCAACTAGCAGGTAGAGTAGAGCTGTATTCCCAACTAGCAGGAAGAGTAGAGCTGTATTCCCAACTAGCAGGTAGAGTAGAGCTGTATTCCCAACTAGCAGGTAGAGTAGAGCTGTATTCCCAACTAGCAGGTAGAGTAGAGCTGTATTCCCAACTAGCAGGTAGAGTAGAGCTGTATTCCCAACTAGCAGGTAGAGTAGAGCTGTATTCCCAACTAGCAGGTAGAGTGGAGCTGTATTCCCAACTAGCAGGTAGAGTAGAGCTGTATTCCCAACTAGCAGGTAGAGTAGAGCTGTATTCCCAACTAGCAGGTAGAGTAGAGCTGTATTCCCAACTAGCAGGTAGAGTAGAGCTGTATTCCCAACTAGCAGGTAGAGTAGAGCTGTATTCCCAACTAGCAGGTAGAGTGGAGCTGTATTCCCAACTAGCAGGTAGAGTAGAGCTGTATTCCCAACTAGCAGGTAGAGTAGAGCTGTATTCCCAACTAGCAGGTAGAGTAGAGCTGTATTCCCAACTAGCAGGTAGAGTAGAGCTGTATTCCCAACTAGCAGGTAGAGTAGAGCTGTATTCCCAACTAGCAGGTAGAGTAGAGCTGTATTCCCAACTAGCAGGTAGAGTAGAGCTGTATTCCCAACTAGCAGGTAGAGTAGAGCTGTATTCCCAACTAGCAGGTAGAGTAGAGCTGTATTCCCAACTAGCAGGTAGAGTGGAGCTGTATTCCCAACTAGCAGGTAGAGTAGAGCTGTATTCCCAACTAGCAGGTAGAGTAGAGCTGTATTCCCAACTAGCAGGTAGAGTAGAGCTGTATTCCCAACTAGCAGGTAGAGTAGAGCTGTATTCCCAACTAGCAGGTAGAGTAGAGCTGTATTCCCAACTAGCAGGTAGAGTAGAGCTGTATTCCCAACTAGCAGGTAGAGTAGAGCTGTATTCCCAACTAGCAGGTAGAGTAGAGCTGTATTCCCAACTAGCAGGTAGAGTAGAGCTGTATTCCCAACTAGCAGGTAGAGTAGAGCTGTATTCCCAACTAGCAGGTAGAGTAGAGCTGTATTCCCAACTAGCAGGTAGAGTAGAGCTGTATTCCCAACTAGCAGGTAGAGTGGAGCTGTATTCCCAACTAGCAGGTAGAGTAGAGCTGTATTCCCAACTAGCAGGTAGAGTAGAGCTGTATTCCCAACTAGCAGGTAGAGTAGAGCTGTATTCCCAACTAGCAGGTAGAGTAGAGCTGTATTCCCAACTAGCAGGTAGAGTAGAGCTGTATTCCCAACTAGCAGGTAGAGTGGAGCTGTATTCCCAACTAGCAGGTAGAGTAGAGCTGTATTCCCAACTAGCAGGTAGAGTGGAGCTGTATTCCCAACTAGCAGGTAGAGTAGAGCTGTATTCCCAACTAGCAGGTAGAGTGGAGCTGTATTCCCAACTAGCAGGTAGAGTAGAGCTGTATTCCCAACTAGCAGGTAGAGTAGAGCTGTATTCCCAACTAGCAGGTAGAGTAGAGCTGTATTCCCAACTAGCAGGTAGAGTAGAGCTGTATTCCCAACTAGCAGGTAGAGTAGAGCTGTATTCCCAACTAGCAGAGCTGTATTCCCAACTAGCAGGTAGAGTAGAGCTGTATTCCCAACTAGCAGGTAGAGTAGAGCTGTATTCCCAACTAGCAGGTAGAGTAGAGCTGTATTCCCAACTAGCAGGTAGAGTAGAGCTGTATTCCCAACTAGCAGGTAGAGTAGAGCTGTATTCCCAACTAGCAGGTAGAGTAGAGCTGTATTCCCAACTAGCAGGTAGAGTAGAGCTGTATTCCCAACTAGCAGGTAGAGTGGAGCTGTATTCCCAACTAGCAGGTAGAGTAGAGCTGTGTTCCCAACTAGCAGGTAGAGTGGAGCTGTATTCCCAACTAGCAGGTAGAGTAGAGCTGTATTCCCAACTAGCAGGTAGAGTAGAGCTGTATTCCCAACTAGCAGGTAGAGTAGAGCTGTATTCCCAACTAGCAGGTAGAGTGGAGCTGTATTCCCAACTAGCAGGTAGAGTGGAGCTGTATTCCCAACTAGCAGGTAGAGTAGAGCTGTATTCCCAACTAGCAGGTAGAGTGGCTGAAGGTGTGGGTGCCATCGTTAGCATGTGTGAAGACTGTATTGTGTATTACGGGAAGGGTAGCGATGGGCTTGGATCAGTGTGTTAGGCTCTGATAATTGACCTCCAACTATCAAGGGCTCAGAGTAGAGGCTGTATTCCCACCTAGCAGGTAGATGTGGAGCTGTATTCCCAACTGGGTTAGAGATGGATGCTGTAGTTCGCTCCAATAGTCAGTGGTCAGTAGCGGATATTTCGTTTGCGGCCAACTAGTAAGGATAGAGTAGAGTCTTGTATTCCCCAAACGAATAGCAGTTTAGAGGGATATGTAGCTGTATTCCCAAACCGTAGGGCAGACATGAGAGTGGGAGCTCGCTATTCTCAATCCTAGCAGGTAGAGTGAGCTGTATCTTGCAACTTCGAAACTTAGCGAGGTAGAAGTGGACAAGCTGTTTCCCCAACTAGGCAGAATAGGTCAAGAGGTAGAAGCATAGTTGTATCCAACTAGTCAGACGTAGAGTGGAGCTGTATCCCAACACTACGCGAATTGGCATAGATAAGAAGGTAGTACACGCTGTATTCCCTTAACTTAGTCGAGAGTGTAGATGTAGAGTTGTGCTTTACGACCTCTGGGGCACCTCTAGTCCACCAGGCTAGAAGTAACCGAGGTGTTCCAACTAGCAGCCAGCTAGAGTGGAGCTGTATTTCCCAACAAAGGCTAGCAGCAGCGAGCTGGCTTAGAGCTGTGGAGTATTCTTTGTCTAGTAAATGCCTAGCAAGACTGCGCGCTCCGCTTTTCGGCTCTGGTGTGCTGCTTCTCATGCTAACAGAGATATAGGAGTGTAGAAAAGGGATGATCTATGTGGGACGGGCAGAGCAAAACCAGGCAAGTGGTTGTGCAAACATTTGTGGTGCTTTAACCTACTGTTCAGGCAAAATTGTGCTTATGTGTCATTAGTGTTTGCCAGGGGTTTTTAGTTGTAAACAATGAAACGACCCCTCTCGTGTTAGATTTGTTTCCACTTTAGGGCATGTCTCACAACTTGGTATGAGGTAGAAGGCAAGGCAAGGTAAACCAAGAGTCAACTCATAAACGACAGTCTTTTCTTTTTTCGAAGAAAGAGAAGAAGCTGCTGGGTGGGATTCGAACACACGACACTGGTTTTCTGGCAGTCTAGGCGAGCGTCTAAGTAAACCAATGAGTTCAAGGCAACTCAGCTGGTAGGGGTTTCGAATCTACAACACAACACGAGGCAAATCTCACAACCACTGTGGCCTAGCAGCAGTCACTTTGATGGCTTGGGCCACCTGTCAATGACTCATGGTTTCTTTGTTAGCTGCTGGGGGTTGAAACAAGGGACAATAGAGAAGGATGTGTTTTACGGGCATTGCAATGACCTCAATACTCAGTCCTCCGTCACTACTTGTTATCCTGCCATGCCACACAGTGAACAACAGGAAAAATCTGAGTTGAGGTTATTTTGGCGTTGTTGACTTGTTTTCCACAACGAGCCATCACTTTTTGAATGCAGTTGATATAATTTGGTCACACAAGTTTCCTTTCCAGGGCTGGATGGTGCACAAACGCTGTGGCACTAGCGTCTTGAGCGCTATCCTTGCCACAGGCTCAAAGTGGCAGAAAATGGTAGAGAGCAGACTAGACGTAAGTACTGTAGACACCCAGCTGTGCATGTGACCCAAGTGTTAAGTTATCTGTTGTTGCAAGTGGCAGTTTTGTGGGTAACGACGACTGAAGGGAAAAATCACTAGGTGTGCTTTTTGGTGTCAGTTTTTGCTTGTCACGGTTGAGACATGTCCTTGCCCCCAGCGTCGATGCTATCAGCATGAAGAAGACGAAGTTACCAAGACAAGGACACACCTTGAGCTTGCCATGGACGCATCAGCCTTCTGTGTTGTCATGTCTTCAAGGTCATAGTTGTGACAATGTTCCTCGAGAGAAACTATGTCAAAATCATAAGCCCTCAGTGTTCGTAGTCGGTACTGGGGGTGTTGGCAGACCCTTGCGTTAGTATGAATGAGCAGTTCAAAGCATTTATGATGGACAACACTTTGCACGTGGTATCTACTGCGGTGAAAGACAAAAGCCAAGATCAAGGACTTGAGGGACTAATATGCAGATTGTACCGACAAGCATTGTGTACTAGAACATTTCACCTCCTCTGAAAGACAAGAAGCATAATCAAAGAGGCATTTGAGGGAGTGGAATCATGGAGTATATCATCGATACTTACAGTCCTCTCTATTCCCATCATTGCTCAAGACATTCTCATGTATTTGCAAATAACCCACAACGATCAGTAGGAACGCAAAATTAGAGTAGCTGGAAAATGCCCAAGAAATAAACCTAATGTTAACTTACGTAGCCCGCTAAAAATACGGTACTGCCTCCATTGTCGTACGGATTGCAAATATTTGTAATATTGACAAAAATGGCCGGGTTTGTCATTCAGTATATCGGATTAGGCTAATCATGTCTCAAAGGAGCTGTCTGTCCTTACCACATTTTTAAAACTCTAATGGGTGAACTCAGTCATCGCGCAAACGCACCCAAAGTACGTGATTTCAAGGTCCCCTGGGGTATGGTTGATTTTGCAGCACTGTTAGCTATTATTTTCACCTCACTCAGTTATCACTCATTGTAGCCGTCGGTTTTTGCTCATCTTCAAAGGCACTGCCTTAGCAGTGTATGTCCCGTACCGCAGCGCAGCTAAACCTAGTCATACTGGTCACATTCCCAGAATGATGCTGTTAAGTAGGGTCAATATGAGAGAGGAGAGCCCCAGATTTACAAAACCCACTGTCGCTGTCAACACATGCACTGTTACCATTTTAGCACGGTACTACGTACACCCACACACAGAAAGCAAGGGAAGACACAGAAATACCAAAGGGAATAGGCAGAACGCATAGACTGGTGAATGAGGCGAGCTACAAAGCCAGTAGAAGCCCCGACGAGCCAGTGGGAACACAGGAGAGAGCCCGGGAAGCGTTGTAGAGAGACACCGCCCGGAAAACCGCGCATAGCTAGTGAGCACTCAGCTGGAACGAGATCTCGCGTGAAGCGAACTATAGGTACTACTACATTTGTCTACAATGGACCACTGTAAACAGTGAAACTCTAACCGTTCCACTTGTAGCTAGACTATTAGCAGAATGCGGACTGCAGATATGCCAGACAATCCGCCATTCAGCAGAAAGCTTAACAGCACACAGTCTCACTCAACCATCGCAGACTTGAGCCCTATGCACATGTTCATTTCTGCATGATCCTGGTGGTAGAGGGCCACCTGCTTGAGAAGATAGAGTCACCTCAGTGAATAATTTATAAGTTTCTGCTCTTCATAGATCGATGTGTACGTGTATTGCCGTTGTGCGCACATCACGGATCCGTCTATGTCGTACTTGGCAAAATGGCAACATTGCGAGATGAAGTGCTTAATAGAAAGATGGCTGCTAACACTAGGAGACCACCAACCAAGACTGTGAGCTAGCTTCAAACTAACTCCCTCCTTAAGTAATACCACCCTCACCATTATCCTGGAGGAATTTTCTTCAGCAGCCCATGACATTCAATGAATTGACATCCACCGCTTTTTAGACTATTATCATAAGTACGTCGTACTTATATATAGGGATTGCCAGTTAACTGAGCCATCATAGATGAATGGTCTATGAGTAGGGAGTTTTGTTCAGCTTCCTTCTTCGCCGGCTCCTTCAGATGCAACACCCTAGACTCAAAATGAAACAACATGAGAGTAATGGAAATTTCGTAGCAGAATGTAGATATCCGTCACCGAAGAGACTGGTCATACTATAGTCTTTGTCAAACAACAACATAGCCCCAGTGAAATACATTATAAAGGGATCCACAGGTGTCCGCATAAGCGCACACTTGGTAAGCAGTTATGTGAAGGAACTGTGAGACTCTAATGTAGTCAATATACCAACATAAAAACACAACAACACATGTTGCTAGAACCACAGCCAATAGCTCAGGCACTTTCTTTAAATTACTTCACACTTCTCAAACTTTGTTTTTCCAGGTAGCACACAGAGACTGAAACTTGCCATGTATACGTATATATCCTTTCCGTGACGATTACATGTTTCCATGACGACGCATATATGGGTGGAAAAAGCCTCAGGCAAGATATTCTTTATGGTATACTTCTTCACTTTGTACTCAAACTCGCGACTATGACGCACGCATGAGGTGAAACTTAGGAGTGCAAGTGTACTTACATCGTTTCAACTGACGACCACAACACAAATAGTCGCCTCAGGCACTTTTCTCTGTAAATTACTTCGTTCCCTCCTCAAGCTTGACTAACGCGCATGGAGGTGAAAATGGAGCGCATGTGTATTACATCGTGTTCCATGACGACCCCAACACAATAGCCTCAGGCACTTTTCGTTAAATTACTTTCTTCACTTCTCAACTCACTAACGGTATCACACCAGGATGTGAAACTTGATAGGCTGTGTGGTACCATCGTTTCCAGACGAGCCACAACACCAACTAGCCTCAGGGACTTTTCTTTAAAAATTCTTCTTCACTCCAACTTGCTAAGCACACATGAGATGCAACATGGTATATGCACATGCATTGTGCATGACGACAACAGCCATTTTTGTCTCTAGTATTTCATTTTTATAGGGCTTGCCCCTTCCACAGAGATACTACGTGTAGTAGTACTATAAACGAGCTGGAGACCAGTAATTAAATCCTGCGATTTAAAAAAAGAGGCATATAGGGATCGTATCGAAAAGAAAGGAGACAAGATAGGGATGGATACATGCAACATGGGT